CCGCCACACCTGTTGCGATTCCACTAACCAAAAAAAAAAAGAAAAAAAAGAAAGAAAATGTAGAACGGAAAGCAAATCAGGGTCAGGTTACGGCGGCGTCTGGGCGGCCGTTGCGTCGGATAGGAAAACGTGTTGTTAGTGTAGAGGCATTGGTGTCATAACAGTAAAAGTTTTTTTTTTTTTTTTTTTGGGGGGGGGAAAAGGGGATTTACGTCTAGAGGCATTGGTGTCATAACAGTTTTTTTTTTTTTTTTTTTTTGGGGGGGAAGGGGAGGAGTTTTTTTTGTATTTTTTTTTTTTTTTTGGGGGGGGAGGGGGAGTTTTTTTGGGGGGAGGAGGTCGCTTTTTTTTGTTTGTTTGTTTGTTTTTATTTTTGGGGGAGGGCGTTTTTTTTTGGGGGGGGGAGGAGGTCGCTTTTTTTTGTTGTTTGTTTGTTTTGTATTTTTTGGGGGGAGGGCGTGTTTTTTTTTTTGGGGGGGGAGGGCGTGGGAGGGTTTTTTTGGGGGGGGGGGGAGGTCTGATGTTAGGTAGGTCATTGGGGTTAGTTATGTTCAAGAACTTCGTAACTGCTAGAACATGATGCTGTCATGACTAGAACATCGTTTTATAAGTAGAACATTTCGTTTTAACTGGTGCAGTAGGTTATGACAATTAGAACATCGCGTTGTAACTACTATAGCATTACGTTATAACAACTATAACACTTGGAACAATAGGTTGTAACAACTTAAACATTACGTTATAACAACCATAGCAATTGGTTATATCAACTTGAACTTACGTTATAACAACTAAAACATCACGTGTAGCGCTATTTCGTTATAACAACAAGTTTATAACTACAACATAAAACTATAACCACTACAACACGTTATTAGTTTCAGATTCTATCGGCCAGTTTGTTAAAATTGTTCCAGGTCCGACCCAATGAATATTCATATAAACAGACATCTATATACACAGAAATAAATGCATATCTATCGATTTGTCAAATAAATATACGTCTATTTTTCTATCTGCAGGTAGATATGCATGTCTAGACTGATAGGAATGGATTTATTTCTGTGTATGTGCATGTCTGTAATGAAAGTCTATTAGTCTATTTAACAAACCGGCCGTTTTTGCAGTTTAAAGAATACAATAGTGTGTCACAACCACTAAATAACAGGATAGTGTTACCCATTAACTTCCCCCTGTCCGTAAGCAGGAGCCGCCTACCTGAACCTCCCTTTCCCCAGGTCGTGCAGGACCGAGTACTTGGCCGGGAATCCCGAGTGCCACTTGACGGGCCTCGCGAGTGCCATCGCCTCCTCCTCGTCCTGCTCCTTCCTGTACCTGGCGACGTGCATCCCCGTGCCGATGTCTTCTCCATATTCTTCGTCTTCCTCGTCGTCCGTGTCGTCCTCTTCCATTCGCTGTGCTCCGTCTTGTGCATCGTCGTCGTCTTCTTCTTCCTCCTCTTCTTCTTCTTCTTCTTCCTCTTCCACTGTCCCTAAGGATCGAAGTGCAAACGGGATTACAGCCATCGCTTCACGGAGGCTACGAGAACACTCATGTTTTCACACAAATCAAACAAGATTCTTCCTCCCGCATAACCCATACATCTTTAGTGGTCTATTTATATATTTTTCCTTATCTTTAGAGCAAAACCCCTATTCCCAGCAAAAGAAATTATCCATTTTTCTTCAAGTGGACCTTCTCCCGCATAACCCACACATCTTTAGTGATAGATTTATATATTTTTCTTTATCTTTAGAGCAAAACCCCCATTCCCAGCAAAAGAAATTATCCATTTTTCTTCAAGTGAACCTTCGCACAGTGCAGTCGAGGCGGCGGTCACTGTGATCGTCATGGGACCGAAGGCAAGCGACGTCTGTCCTCTCTGAACTCTGGCTTCGCACTGGAACCCGATGCAACCTGGGACCCACATGTCCTACTTTCCCACCCCTTCGCCGTGGAGGAGGGACCAGACGATAATTTTTCTGTTTTCCCTTTTTTTTCATGGGAAAAGAGAGACAGGGGGGAGTTTTGGCGACACCTAAGTCGAGGGGAGAAGGTGAAGAAGGTGTACTCGGGTGTTCGAGAAGGAAAGCGAAGACTGAGAGTGTAAAATGGGTGAGGAAAAAAGAGTCAGACATGAAAATGAGAAGAAGCTAACGACGCGATCTAACTGCCTTGAGAGGGGAGTCGAGGGGGGGGGGGGGAGGTGTAGGGAGAGGATAGGGCGAAGGGGGAGTTTTAGGGAAGAAAGGGAGGGGAGAGAGACAGAGACAAGTAGATAGACAGAGACAATAAGACTAAACAAAGAGAATACTGTGAGAGAGAAATAAAATAAAACAAACTATCATGTTTAAAAAAAGAAAGGCCATGGGATGTATTTCATAAAACAGAAAAAATAAAAGCAGAATAGAAGAAGAAAATATTAATAAAAAACAAATAAAGAAAAAAATAAACAGGAATATAAGACCCAAGGGACAATTTACACGTTCGTCTCCCTCCCCTTCCCTCCCCTCCTCCCTCCCCTCTCCTTCCTCCCTCCCCTCCTCCTTCCTCCTCCTTCCTCCCCTCCCCTTCCTCCTTCCTCCCCTCCCCCTCCTCCTTCCTCCCCCCCCTCCCCTCCCCTCCCCCTCCCCTCCTCCTTCCTCCCTCCCCTCCTCCTTCCTCCTCCCCCTCCTTCCTCCCCTCCCCCAACCCTGTACCCACTACCCTCCGCGCGCACTTTCCACATACCACATCCTGATACCACATTACACCTCGCGTCCTTTCCATTCGTTAACCTGTGACGTTTCTCTCTCTCATTAGCATGATTTATTAGCTTCTTTTGATAAGATTCTGTCTAGAAAGGAAGTAAAGATGGTGATAATGATGATGGTGGCGATAATGATAATATTATTAATTGTGACAATAATGGTAGTGATAATAATATTGATGGTAACGGTAATAGTAATGGTAATGGTGATGATGATGATAATTATGGTTATGGTAACGATGATGATGACGATAATGGAAATGGTCGATAATGATGAAAATGAGAATAAGAATAAGAATGGGAATAACAAAGATAACAATGATAATAATAACCGCACGATGTTACACACTTCAAAATCAGTCGCGAGTTCAGCGCCACAGTCGCTCGCCGTTTCGAGAACTCCCTTCCGTATTCATGTGGACAAATGTGGAAAGGTATGAATGAGAACGAATATCTTCACAATACAAGAGATGTATTTGACCGGTTTCGATTATATCTTCGTCAGAAATACATGCATTTCTGACGAAGATATAATTGAAACCGGTCAAATACATCTCTTGTATTGTGAAGATATTCGTTCTCATTCATACCTTTCCAACAACTCCCTTCCCCTTGAAAGCTTCCCTTCCTCGCCTAGTGTTTCAGAACCATTTACCCTAACGACGCCGCGTCCGGACTCAGAGGACTTTAATGGTTAATGGTTAATAAGATAAATGTGCTAATCTAAGGTCATATAGCACTATAGGAAAGTATAGTAAAGGGGGATGTCAGGTGATAGTTGTTACGTGTCAACTCTCTAGAATAGTGTTGAGAGGCTGAAGATGAGGGAAAAGATTACGGTGGTTTAGGTAAGGGAGTTAGATCGAGTGAAGGATATTTATGCGTCTGAGGACTCTTGAAGCGCCTGTTCTCGGTCGTTGGAGCCAAAGTCGCTCGTCACTGCGGGCTTTCGTCTAGGCAGCTTTCGTCGTGGCAAGTGGAGGAAAGGTGGGCGTGAGAGTGAATAGCTTCACGGGGCGGGAGGAGGATCTGATCGGGTTTCGGGTATATCTTCGTCGGAAATATTATGCTTTAGTTTTAATTTTTATTTTATATACATGTATATGTGCACACATATTCTCGTGCATACACATACATGTATTTATATATAATAAATGTGTATATATATGTATGTATACATATATACATACACGATATATATGTGTGTGCATGCATGTATACATAGATATATATATATATATATATATATATATAATATATATTATATATATATATATATATAGATAGATAGATAGATACATATATATCACTATATATATCTATGATCTCTCTCTATATATAACATACATATATATGTATGTGTGTGCTAAAAATATTTTCACATACAGTTTACCTAACAGTCATAAAACCGTATGCTTCTATTGTGTCACAAACAAATGTCACTATATATATATTTTTTTTTTATCAGCAACAACTTAACTAAATAGCTTTCCAAAGTGAGTTCAGTCAACGCAGACGGTAATTTTGAAAAAAAAAATATATATATATCCCTAGTTCGTGTCGTCCTTATCTGGTATCACCATTACATCAAAAACAAACAAACAAACAAAGAACATAATTAACAAGAACTCTTTTGTTCATATGATGATAAAGAACATACATGAGGAAGGAGATTTTTGTGATATTTATAGAGCTGACTGGGAGTATTTCCAGGATGTATTTGTGTATTTCTTTTCACACGGTTTTCTGGTTTCATTCATTCTGCTTTCCAGTTCTTGAGGCCTGTCGTCTCCGGCTTTCTCTCTCTCTCTCTCTCTCTCTCCGTTTCTCTTTCTGTCTCTGTCTGTCTGTTTTGTCTCTGTCTCTGTCTGTCTCTCTGTCTCTGTCTGTCGGTCTCTCTCTCTCACTCTCTCCCTGTACATGTAAATGTGTGTGTTATGCACACACACACACACACACACACACACACACACACACACACACACACACACACATATATATATATATATATATATATATATATATAATATATATATATATATATATATGTATATATTATATGTCTGTACTGGATACATGACGCAGTACTGACAACTAATGATATAATATACATGTTATTTATGGTCTTATTGCCCTTGCAAAAAAGATATAAACTATATTTTTCTGTACTATCTTTTTCGTCAAAGTGCTTCAGTTGAATAGTCTCTGTAGCATCATCTGTCTTTTTCTCTGTCCACCGCCTTATTCATATTCAGTATAATATATCCTTTTTTCTGTTACTGTTTTACTTATGTATTAATATACTCTGGTCGTCTCTTGTCACGTGTACTAAAATACCCTGGTCTCTTTGCCATAATTTGTTTGCTATCATGTTTCCTGACTTATGAATGATCACTTTATTTCATAAGCATGATTAAATAAGATTTTAATCTACTGTGAAACTACTAGGAAAATAGAATTACAGTTAATAGCCAAGGAGACGTGCCATTTTCAGTCATTGTAGTATTCATAAGAGTAAAAATACTTAATTTTTGTGTGAATGTCGAAGTAGAGGCTTTTTAAAAAATCCTTCCCCGATGTCTTGGTCTAATAATATCAATATCAAGAGATTCCCACTTCAGTTCGTCTCTCTCACTTACCTTCACACATTTACCACTATTACTCAGTGCTACCTTTAGCTCTGCATCGAATCACAAATGTTAATATTCATCACTAATCATTGTGCTATTTCTCGATCACAGAGAAGGAAAACCCCTTTGCCCTGCATAGCTTGACGACTCGGTGGCATGGTAACTGTAGTGCATAACCATTGCACATCTGCGTGGAATGAGTAAATGACCAATTTGTGACTGTGAATGTCTCTGGATGTGAGGTCACAGACTTCGCCCACCATGGAAGCAACCAATGTGCACAGTATCCCTTATGTATTTAATAAAAAATGAATTTCCTCACATATTATCAGCGATCAAGAGATCATCATTGAACTTCACAGCAAAGAACAGAGCTGACTGGCATAATACAATGAGAATTACACAGATCCCTGCAAACCACCGCAGTTGTCGCTTCCCCATTTATGTACTGAAGTAGAGCAAATCGTTATAAGGTCTTCATTTTGGCTCTCGTCTATAGGATTTAGTGGTGATTCAACATTTTCATTTTCACATTGTACAAATAACACTTTTCCCTGACCCCACCCATAAAAGCGAACCAAAAAAAAGCGGAATTTGATCTTGTATGGTTAATGTCGAAAATAAAATGCCATTACCGTTTGATTTTATTTCTTTGTATATATATTTCTATATTACATCACCATAAACTTGTGCAATACAAATATTTCAGCCAATTAAAAGAAAATGGAATTCTCAATTCACAGCAATTCCTAGCCATTTCTCAACCTTCCAAAATGTTAGTATTGCTCGTTGCTGAGGAATGTAAGCAATTTTAATTATTTCATTTTCATGTTTAAATACACAACACTATCTCAGTGATGACCTATGATGTGTCACTATATCTTAAATAGGCCGTTTGTGACCTTAGATGCTAACGCGGCAGAATTTCAATAAATAAATAAGTAGAAGCTGGGTCCAAAGAAATTATAAAGTCATCACCTGGAAATCGATATTCAGGCATTCTCAATTCACAGAAATCGATGTTTAGTCATTTACAAATTTACCAATATTAATTTGCAATTTCGCCACTGCCATATTTTTCGTCAGTTTGCCCAAAATGCTCGGCGCTTTCTTTGTTTGTTTTTTTTCAGAAAACGGGTAAGCGAACCCAAGGCAGCGAGCCAGACGCCAACGCTGAAGCCTCAAGTGTTGATGCCAGAGGTGCCCTTCAACAGACAGGGCAGTCCTGTGAAAATGTTCCTGATGGTCATGCTACTTGCTAAAACCTTGATAGGGAGTTAGGGGTCATTTTTCAGGGGGAGAAGTATCAGGATCATTTCCAATTGGAACACGTATCAGGGCCAGGTATCAATATCAGCCGCTGATACTGTGCACTCGATACAATCTGACATCGACATTCTTCGTAGAATAAAAAAAAAAAAAAAAGAGTGCGAGCGGGTTTAACCTCCACCCCCCCCCCCCCCTTTAGCGTGCGTGCGTTCGTACGCTCGTGAAAATGCTGAAAATTTTGTACCACCCCTTATGAGAAATCCCATGTCATCTCTACAACCG